CCATGGGTCGTCCGTATGGTTCAAGAGTTACAATTCCTTTGGAAAGTATTTGACGATAGCTTGCAATCAACATCAAAATGTACCAATACTGGTGGTTACATTCAGACGAATATCCGAGAAATGATGGCTTGCAATTGCTTAACCAAAAGTGACGACTGTCAGCTTCTCTTAGATTGTGAATCAGATGGAGGGTGTGGCTGGAAGTGTGATGGGTTTGCATGAGTGCATAATGTGATAACACGATGAACGCTGACAGTGACAGAGGCCATCTGTATTGTTCCACTCCGGAACTGGGGCCGTTCACAAGTCGACGCCAGACAGTCACGTAGCTGCAAATGAGTAAAGGAGCATGAGGCTACTAAATGAGTTGAACACTTTGCTAGAGTTCCCAAAGACACCTCAACCAGACCAAACTTTGGAAACGATTGAGGCATTAAACCACATCATATCTGACATAACTCCTACTCTAGAACCTCAGAGGTCATGCTCCTACATGCCGATCTGAAAGAGACTGGATAAGTCAACCCATTTTGTAGATCACTTTGCAACCTCCCTCCTTCAAAAGAATAATTCTGTGAAGTCGTTAGTTTCCGTGGGATAAATCACGAAGTTTTTACCCACCAGAAGGTGAATGGGAAGGACGAACTAGTCGGTATGGCATTGCAAATACTGCTTTCCAATTTGCCTCTGAAAAGAAGCCGTCTTCGAGGAGATCAGTGATTTCTTTGGAAGCATTTATGCTGCCGCCCATTAAATAGTGATGAGTGGGCTTCCAAGTCTGTCTCACTGTACCGTTCCCGGCAATTTCGACCAGATCAGGAGAACAAAGACAGACCCTGAGGCCCGACTATTCTTCCGTCACGTACAGGTCATGCGCAAATGGCTTCCTATGCAAATGTGGGGCTGGAGGTGTCTCCCGGAGGTGGGCAACACACCCCCAGCAACGGCGCTGTTGACAGCAGCATTGATGACTCCCTCGTTAGTGCATCCACATTAGGACCAACTTCCCTGACCTTATTGTGATCAAAAGCGGCGACATCGTGTCTTCCGATTTACTCCTTTTGTTCTTGCCTTGTTATTATTATATTTTATTGTTCTGAAAAAGTTTTTCTGCATACTCTTTCTGCATAAATTTCAAGTCATACATTTATAATGTGAGTGTTGTTAACTGATTTTTCGTATGTAAGTAGAGTTATTAACTGGTCAGAAGGGTGACGCTTTTGTCGATTTGGAGGGTATATTTCAAAAGGATCAGCAGAGCTCGACTTCATTGTGAATTAAGTCTGGACCGGTCAGGCTGATAAAAGGAGAGAATTTTTGTTTATAAGAAGGTTTTCGAGACTATTATTAGCTCATATTTATAAGATGTATTCACCCTATGATTTTAAGATGAATATAACTCATATAAAAGGAGGGGTTTTTTAATTTATAGAAATAATGGTACCTCTGAAATGCACTAAGCTTTTCTCATAAACTATGTTTTTATCCGAGATGATCTGCAGTTTTGCCTTCACTTGAATTGAATCAGCCACTAGCTTCGTTATTGGGCTGAGCGCATTACGGGGCAACAGGTTACCACATCCATACATAGTCACGAGTGCTGGTAGTTCATAGAACAGAGGCGGCTTTCAAGGCATGCCATGTTTCTTCGAGATCACATTTTTCAATAAGATTAT